GAATGATGTGTGTTCCACAGGGAGGGATGGATCCAGGGTTTCCATTTCAGTCCTGGGGAAGAAGTGGCCAGTGGGTTGGTGGTTGAAAAGAAGATTTACTTCTCTCTGTTAAATCTTTTTGTTGTCACATCGCTGGTTTGTGTGAGTCAAATGCAGCAGATTTTTGGTAAAATTGAACTGGAATCAGATCCTGAGATGGTCAGGATTGCAGTGGGAGCCAGCCTGGAGAAGGGCAGGGCAGGAGGTGACAGGGCAGGTGACAGCAGGGGGTCACACACGGGCTGTCCCAGGGTGTCACAGCCCAAAACCTCCCGTGGCAGAGTGAGGTGGAATCACCCCAGAGCTGTGTCCCGATGAATTCCAGCTGATGGGAGATGAGAAAGAACCGAGGGAGAGCAAACCCAGAATCCCCAGCTTTGGCCATCCCGTAAGGAACTTTTCTCTGAGCTCATGTTGAACCTTTTCCCAGGATTTTCCAGCTTTTCTTTTATTCCCCTCTGTGCTGATTGCCAGGGCAAACGTGTGGATTTGGGAGGCTCCCCTGCAGCCCTGCAGGAGCCCCTGGCTGCACTCAGGGCTGGGAAGAGCCTGGTCTGTGCCTGCCTTGGGGCAGAGAGAGGGGAATCCTCCCCTGGAAGGGAAAATCCATAGGCTGGGATTCAGGGAATACCAGAGCTCGTGTTTTAGCTGCTGCAGAACCTGTGGGAATTGAATGTTTTATTTGATTGAACTGGGTGATCTCAGGGGTCTTTCCCACTGTAAATGTTGGTGTGATTTTCATGCTGGCTTTGGGGTGAGGTGTCCCAGGGTGGGTGCAGGGAAAAAAGGGATCTGTGATCCCAAATCCCCTGGACACATCCCGGGCAGCACAGCTGCGTCAGCTCCAGTGCTGATGGAGCATCTCCAAACCATTCTCTCCTAAAAAACCCTTCAGTCTGGGCTGTTTATACCATCAAATGCTCGAAATATTAATTGAGATGATTCTGCAGAGCCTCCTTGATTAAAACACGTTTTTTTCCCATGCAGAAAACTGGATTGTCAGGTTTTTGGTTTTTGTGCTGGGCCATCACACTCCAGCTCCGAGTCCCAGTGTGGGACCAGGGCCAGCCTCAGCTCAAAGGCTTTTTCACTTTGAAAGAATAGAGGGAAGGAAGAAAGAAGCAGAAAATATATTAAAATGCAAGATTTTATATTAGTTATGTGATCCCCCGGGAGCAACCATAAAATTATGTGGCTTTTTCGTGGCCATTTACTATTCAATATAAAAAGGGGAGTTGCCATAGCAACCACTGCATCATCTGACATCTGATACCTTGGCCAAACAGGGAGCTCTTAAATCAACTCCCCAAATTTCATATGAAAGTAAATACATTTTACTGGTGATTTCAAGGCGAGTTTGCCTTGTGACAAGGAATGTGGCACCATTTCCCCAGCTCAGCTCGTGGCCTCTGGGTCCCATCCTGCAAACTCAGGCCCTGGAGCCGACATTACTCAGCAGTGTGAGAGATTAGAACTTAGAGGAGTTTGTTTTCCTAAGTAAAATTAAATGAAAGGAGCAAATGACACCATTTCTTTTAACATTTCTTGCTGACTGGGGAATGCCAAAAAAATGAAGTTGAGTTCAGTAACAGCTGAAGTTTCAGCTGCAAGTGTGTGAGCAGCACAAAGGAGGGAGACAGGGGGGTGAAAATAAAAATAAAAATTGGAAGGATGTTTGTGTAAGCTCACATTGGACTGGGTTGGGGTTGTCTCACAGGCACGTGTGACATTGAGGGGTGGCAGTGACATCACCCCGGGGGTGCTCTGGCTTCTCTGCCAGCACCAAGGCAGTTCCAGGGGCAGGGGGAGCAGCCAAGAGGTGCAAAACATTTCCCAAAATATCCAGGAGCTCTTTTGGTCTCACCTGGTGCAGCCCAGGAGGGTCCCTGCCAGCCTATCCCAAACTACCTACTTCTTGTGCAAAAACAATTTCCAAATAAGTGTGACAGTGTCTGACTCTGAATTCATCTCCCCAGGAACAAGGGAAGTGCAGGAAAATACAAAGTTATTGTTTTAACATCACCTTTGAGGCCAAGGGCTCCTACATCACTGCTCAGTGCTCTGTCCCATCTATTAAAATACTTCTCATTTTTGACACAATTCTTGAAGCTAATCTTTCCACTGATGTTCGTCACTGGAGTGGAATTTACATTTGTTTTGTGTATTTTTAGCTTTCCAAAGCAGCCTTGAAAACTGTTTAGCCTGAATTGTTGGCATTTCACTTTGCACAGACTCAGTGTTTTGTGGCTGAAGGTTGTTTTTGGGGTGGTTTCTAAGGATTTTGAATGCACAGAGATTACACCAAGCACAGGTGAGGAGGATTTGTGTGCAGACACAGCCTCTGTGCAGGAGCTCTTGTTCTTAAGTAAAATGCTGGTTTTATACAGAGAGTGTTTCTGACTCCCAAAAAATGTGGGAAATCCCCTCTGCAGCTGGTGGGGAGCCACACACTCAAATTCCACCAGGTCTTACACTGAGACAGGTGAGCAAATATTCACTTTGTGTGCAAGGGACAGAAATGCCCAAACTTGTAAATGCAGTAGCAAAATTTGGCCATTTAGGGTTGTTTTCATTATAAAACTCCAGGCACATCTGCAGCCACAACTGAAACGTTGAGCATCTGTCAGAAATCCTTTCCTGAGTTCTTCTATCAGGCTCCAAGAAGTTAATTTCATTTTGGAAATTCTTTGAGCTCATTACTTTGAAGATGTTATTCAAAATGCATTTATCTTTTTAAAGGGTCGTTATAGCCCAGTGGATCCTGCTTTGGAGGGGGAACACAGGCTATTCACACAGGGTGTATCAAAACTTGGGCTCCTAATTTTTCCTTTGGAAAGCTCAGTTTAAAGTTGTTTTCTCCATCCTGAAGCTGAGTTGCTCTGGCTCTGGGGAAAAGCCACCCGTGCTGGGCAGTGTGGGACAGACAGTGAGGAGAGCTCAGCAATCCCCAGCTTTTGCTCCAGACAGCCATTATTTATCAGCATGCCTCAGCTCTTAATTACTGAAAATTGAAATGTCCCTTCTTTTATGAAAGTGCTGTCCCTTGGGTGTTACTTTGTTTTATGAGTGGCTGATAAATGAAAGAGGAGAAAAGGCTGCAGCCCAAAACCTGAGCCGACCCTCTCAGATCTACACCAACAGCCACAAAGTGGTTCAGAGGCTTGATGCAAAGCTGATAAAATGCCAAAAATTCCTCATTCTCTCTCTTGGGGAGCAGGGAGGGTTGTCTGGAAAGCGTCAACAGTAAAAATTGCATTTAAGTGGTGCACAGTGCAGCAGCTACTGTGGGCAGGGGGACCTGCAGCAGATGAGGGGGTTTGGAGAGCACGAGCTCCATGCACTGCCTCCCATCCTGGCTGGAGCACCTGGAGCTGCTGCTCTGAGCTCTCCTGGCCATGGCAGTCATGGAGAATAAAGGGTTTCTGAACACACAGAGCAATCACTGAGCAAAACCCTTCTTAGTTTTTTTCTTTTTCCATCCATCCATCATCCATCCATCCCTCCATCCCTCCATCCCTCCATCCCTCCATCCCTCCATCCCTCCATCCCTCCATCCCTCCATCCCTCCATCCCTCCATCCCTCCATCCCTCCATCCCTCCATCCCTCCATCCCTCCATCCCTCCATCCCTCCATCCCTCCATCCCTCCATCCCTCCATCCCTCCATCCCTCCATCCCTCCATCCCTCCATCCCTCCATCCCTCCATCCCTCCATCCCTCCATCCCTCCATCCCTCCATCCCTCCATCCCTCCATCCCTCCATCCCTCCATCCCTCCATCCCTCCATCCATCCATCCATCCACCCACCCATTTATTTACCACCAGTGGAAGACCCCACCCATCCCAGTGTCCCCTCCTTGGCCCCGTCCCTGTCCCTGTCCCTGCCCTGGGCTTTGGGCACCCCAGGGGTGACAGCCTGGCTGGAGTCCCTCTCCCCCAGGAGCAGCCAGGCTCAATGAGCCCATTTGGGAGCGGAAGGAGGAGATTGGAAAGGATTATGCTGAGAAAACAAGGCAGCAGTGTTTCTTCTTTGCCCAGTAAAAGGAATAAAGGCTTTTCTTGAAACCATCCCACTTCTTAAAAGAAATTCCATTTCTTGGAGCCATTTTCTTCTGCAGTGTCTGGGCACATCCCTGCTTTGTGGAATCTCAGTGCTGCAATGGGATGAGCCTGGGCAGCCTCTCTCAACCCAAAAAGCTCCACCAAAAAAACCCTTTATGGAGCCAGGCTGTGATCCCTGCTGGACCTCAGCCCTTCCCCAGCCCCCCTGGCATCATATATAAAAAATCCAAAAATCCCTTGGCTGGGGCTGGTCCTGCCTTTCACTGGCCAAGACTCGAGGAGGGGAGAGGTGCCTGGACCAGCCACCCACACTCAGCCACTCCACAAACAGCAGCAAAAACCAGTCTGCTGCTTTGTAGTTTTTTGGGGGTTTTTTGGGGATTTTTTTTTTTTTTTTTTTTGGTTGGGTTTTTTTTTTACCAGCAGAAAAAAAAAAACTAGCTTTCTAGCTTTTTTTTTTTTTTTTTCCCTGTGGTTTCTGTGTTGGTTTTTTTTTCCTCTGCTAAACTTTGTATTTTTCAGCTCAGTAAAGCATTTATTAGGAATCTTTACAGGCCAGGCTGCTGGTGAATTATATATTGTACAGCTTCGGCGTGAGCTGGGGGGAAAAAAAATTATGACATTTTTCCACCCAGACTGATTCTATCCAATAGCAATGGAAAATGAGGGTTTACCAGGAAAGCTTTAAGTTCAGCTCTGCTTGCCAGAGCTGCAGATACCTTCTGTGCCTTGGTCCATGTGCATTTCTAGAATGTAAATTTTCCTTTCTCTCAACTCACAAGCGAAGCTAAAGCTGAGCTCTGCCCAGCTTTGGGTCCTGCTGCAAAGTGTCCAACAGCCGTGGCTTGACTCTTTTCTTTTTGGAATGGATTTCTCACTTTGGCATCAATTGTTTTTCAGATCATCCTTAATTCAATGCACAAGTACCAGCCCCGGCTGCACATTGTGAAGGCGGACGAGAACAACGCCTTCGGCTCCAAGAACACAGCTTTCTGCACCCACGTCTTCCCAGAGACCTCCTTCATCTCTGTCACCTCCTACCAGAACCACAAGGTAGGCAGCTTTTGGGGCTACAAATGCGTTATTTCTGGCCAGGAACTTCATGAGAGAATCTTCCTGTTCTGCTGGTTTAAAAGACAAGTTTCCATCCTGGCTTTAAGCAGGAGGGATGAGGCAGGATGCAGCTCTGGAGGAGCAGGGATGCTGCTGGTAACAATATTTTGGAAAAGCCTGGGCTCCCCTGACTCGCTGTGCTGTCATTCAAACAGCAAAGCACATGGAATAATGACCAGTAAAGCTTGCTCATAAATCTGCAGTGAGCAGTAATTACAGAATGTGTGTTTAGTGAGACAGATGAGGAATGTAACCATAAAAACGGAACTCGGAGCTGCCTCTGCGGTTTCACGTGGGGACAGGAGGGGGCTGGGGCTCTGGGGAGGGGACTTTGGGGGTACAAAGGGTCAGTTCTGTGCTCTGGCTGGGTGTCAGGGGCACCTGTGTGCTGTGGGTGGTGTTACCTGGGCAGTGGGCAGAGTTCTGCCTGAGGGCTGGATCCCAGCAGGACTGACAGCAGTGGGACAGGAAATTGTCACCTCCCTGTGTCATCTCAGCAGGGAAGGGACAGGGGAGGATGACAGCAGGGGATGGAAAGGCTTCAGATTTTTTCCTGCTACTGCTCTGCCTTTGCACAAGCTCCTGCTCCCGGGCATTTTCCTAATGGCAAAGTCCAATTGCTGTATGAGGAATAATTAATAATTTAATTGGAATTTTTAAAGGGCATCAAAATTCATAACTAAAGGTGCAGAGTGAGGTAGCACTGCCAGAGCCCTCCTGTCACCCTGAGTGTGAAATCTGCCATGTGTAACTGTACCAGTTCCTTTCCTACACATTCACAGAAAAATCCTGCAGGAACAGGAACAAGTGTGAAATTCTTCCTCCCCAATAACCTGACCAGAGCTTTTCCTCCCAAGCAGGATGCCTGTGTGCCCTTTGATGCTGGAAGCATAGAGTGCTTGCAAAAATGCTGCAATTAGTGAGCCAATAAAGAGACTCAGAGCAGAAGCATGGATGTGGTATGGTCAGGCAGGATGGGGGAAAAGTGCCCATTAGGACACTGAAGGTAGAAAAGTTGTAGCTCTTGATGTAAAATGACCAATTGCCCAAACATGGTTAACCAAAAAGACTCAAAAGAGCTTATATTTAATACATATTTAAAATGTCTGCTGTCAATGGTGCCTTTCATCCCTAAAGTTCCCAGAGTGCTCCATAAACTCCACACTTGCACTGTCACTGCTGTCCAACTGTGCTGGGGGGGGTTGTGGCTGGGGGGCAGCACAGGGAGCACCTCACAGATTTAGGGAAAATGTCCCAGATGAGCCCAAATTCTTTAGTGAAGATCCTGTGAGGAACCTCTGGGGTCTGCAGGCTGGGGGGGATGGACACTGCTCTGAGCAGGGGACACAGGGACCTGCAGAAGGTGACAGCAGGCAGAAGGTCTCACCAGGACCTCAGTGTGGTCTGGAGAAAATATCAACCTCAGAGGAATACCTGAATGGTTTTATTTATTCTCTTTAGCATCAACAATTAAAAACCTGGTCTGGGTTTCTTTTAGAAGAAACAAATTGCTGAACTGTATTTAGCTCAGAAATCTGCTGCTAGCAAGAAGTGTGGCTATAAATAATTGTATTCCTAAAGAAAAAAAAGGAGGAAGTTGAGGATAGAGGTTACCCTGGGCACAGGTCAGTGAGGAAGGTGTGTGATCCCCCAAATCCCCTCCTGGGCTGGATGAGGCCAGGGCAAGGTGACGAGGAGGGACTGAAGCCCTGATCCTGCTCACGTCAGAGGAAAACCACGATCACTAAATAACAAAATGAAATTAAGATGTACAAACCTGCTGTCAGGCTGTGGGTTTGGAAGGGTCCTACTCTTCTTTGTGGTTCATCAGCTGCTTGAGCTTCCCTGGAAGAGTTTGAGCCCTGGAGGCTGCTTAAATTCACATGTCACCACCTTCCCCTCCAGCACTGATAGCGGCCAGCTGTGCTCTCAGGAGTTCTTTTGGTAAGGGATATTTTTCAACATTGCTAAAAAGTGCATTTGTTAGCAACACTCTGGAAAACCATCCCAAAGCAGAACTGGCTGCTCTCCTCAGCATTAAAATGGGATGCAGGGGGCTCAGAGCAGAGAGAGGAGCTGTGCAGGGATAAAAGAATGTTTGAGTTGTGATTTTCACGGAGTTAAAATGACTGAATGGTGGCTATAAAGGTGTGTAAAATTGTTGTGGAAATTAGGGAAAGCCACACCATGACAAGCAGGGCTCTCTAACATGGAAACACAGGAAACCTTTTAAATCAGACAAATAAATTCTCTCTATCAGGAGTCCAGAAAAAGAACACAGAAAAAGAAATAAGGCCCAGACCCTGCATTTCACAGGGGTCACCAGGACTGGGCCCCTCGAGACCCACCAGCTCAGCCCTGCTGCTGCTGCACTTTTGCTCTGATTTGCTTTCAGACACTTTATTCTTGGTTTTGTTCTTTTCAAGATAACCCAGCTGCTTTCATGATTTACTTTATTCTTGGTTTTGTTCTTTTCAAGATAACCCAGCTGAAAATTGAGAACAATCCCTTTGCCAAGGGCTTCCGGGGCAGCGACGACAGCGACCTGCGCGTGGCACGGCTCCAGAGGTACCTCCCTCCTCTTCCTCCTCTTCCTCCTCTTCCTCTTCACGGGCTGAAGCTCTTGGGAGAAGCAGCTGAAAGTGCCAGAGTGTTTGCTGGTGCCTGAATGGCACTGCTATCCCTCCAAAGCCCTTGCTGACACACTCTGTGTCGGTGCTGTCAGCCGTGCCCACGCCCAGCGCAGCGCGATGAGTTCATCCTCTGAAGCAAAGGGTGGTGAAGTCACTGGAGATGCTCTGGGGGAGCCAAACCAATATTTCCTCACTCTGCTGATGAAATTCTGATGATGCTGATCACTGCCTAACAAGCCTTAATTTTTCTCACCTCTTTTAGCAAAGAATATCCAGTAATTTCCAAAAGCATCATGAGGCAGAGGTTGGTGTCCAGTCACGGCCAGCTGTCAGCAAAGCCAGATGTTAACCCTCTCCATGGGAATCACCAGAGCCTGCAGCATTATCAGTATGAGAATGGTGCTCACATGCAGTTTGCAGCTTCGGATACTCAAGATCTGCCACTCAACACCTTCACAGCACAGAGAGATTCAGGGCTCTTCTACCATTGTCTAAAAAGAAGAGGTAACTCGAGTTCACAGCTAGAAAAATATCATAGAACATAAACCTGAGACCATGAGTTTGGTTTGGATTGGTCTCTTGGGTCTTGATCTTCAAAAATACTGCTGTGATTGGAGTGTTTTGGAGGTCAGGAGGCAAGAGCTGCTGTTTGGAGCAATTTTTAGTGGGTTTGTCCCTTAGAAGGTAAATTCAGACTCTGAGACAGAGCTGAAACAATTAATTAGAATGTGCAATTCACATGGCACGGAGCTTCAGTGGAAAATGATCCATTGTTAGGATCAGCTGAATTCAGAATTGTTTGCAGGAGGCCATTAGCATTACCAAAATTCTACACTTTCCAAGGCAAAGCCATGAGCAATTCCCTCAATGTCTGCAGACCAGTGGGACTGTGGGAGCTTGGTATGAGCAGCCCTTTCCTCTCATCCACTAATTCTCAAATTTAAGTGAGCTGTGACTGCATTCTCTTCCTTTTAGTCCAGCATCAGATGAGATCATGGCATGTTTTAAGTTAAATGGAAAAATTTTGCACAGAAGAAAAAAATCCTTCTATTTGCATGTCTCACTGCCTGCTAATTTATTTAAGCTGGGAGAATCCTCTGATCATGGCTAAATGAAGAACCTAACAGCACCAGTAATGAGGGCTGCAAGGCAAATGTGTAATTTTAGCAGATGTGTAATGTGCAGATGAATTCACTAATTCATCCAGAGAATATTCCTAATAAATAACAGAAAGCTGCTGGGGAACAGGGCCGTGGTCCTCACAGGAGGAGAGGGGCTGTGCAAGGCTGAGGAAGGGCTGCTCACTGGGAAAGGGCTCCTTTATCTGGAAATATTTCTGCAGCTTTTGACGTGAATATCTGGGAAATGTAGAGTCATTTTTGCAATGACAGGAAGGCAGGCTGTGATAAGAGCCTTTAAGAGACTTCTTGAGTTTGTCAGGAGGAACCGTGCAGGAGTGTCAGGGCCCTCCTTATCTGGATGAACGTGGAGTAATCCCTGATGTGAGAAGAGTCCCTCACTTAAGCTGACAAATGTCACCAGAGCGCTTTGAGGCCGGGGAGGATTAGCCTGACATTTGCAGCACAATGTCTTTTTGATGTTGTACATTGTTTTCCCAAACTAAGATGCTCTAACTGGATTAAGCTGAGGAGGGGCACCACTTCAGCGCGGTAACCGCGGCCTCCGGGGGCACTCCCGGTCCCGGCCCGGCTCCAGCAGAGCCGCTCCTGAATGTGAATTTCTCTTGCAGAAAGCGCTCGGCACCTGGACCTGCCCTGCAAACGCTCCTACCTGGACGCCTCGTCCTCGGTGGGGGACGATCACTATTTCCGCTCGCCGCCGCCCTACGAGCAGCAGATGCTGAGCCCGTCCTACTGCGGCGAGGTGGCCCCCAGGGAGGCCTGCATGTACTCTGGCTCCGGCGCCGACATCGCCGCCGTCTCGGCCGTCGACGATTTACCGCCTCCTCCTCCTCCGCTGAGCTGCAACATGTGGACTTCAGTCGCACCTTACACCAGCTACAGCGTGCAGACCATGGAGACTGTCCCCTACCAGCCCTTCCCGCCGCACTTCACCGCCACCCCCGTGATGCCGCGGCTCCCGGCCATGGCGGGCCAGGGCTCGCAGCCGCCGGGGAACGGCCCCTTCAGCGTCTACAACCAGCTGGGCCCGGCCGCGGGCCGGGAGCGCGGCCCCGCCTCGTCCTTCCCCAGGGAAAGGGTGCACCCGGCCGTGTGCGAGAGGAAACCCCCCTCCCCGCACCTGAACGCGGCCAACGAGTTCCTGTACTCGCAGGGCTTCTCGCTCTCCAGGGAGGCGTCGCTGCAGTACCATTCAGGGATGGGGACCGTGGAGAACTGGACCGACGGGTGACCCCCGCGCCCGGCGGGGCCACGGCGACCTTACTGCTCCGGGACAGGTCGGGCAGTGCTGATACCTGTGGGTAACTTGCACTTCGGTGAGACACATGTGCGTTTCCAGAGGGATTTGTGTGGGTGAAGAGCTTGTATCTTCAGGCACACGGAGAGTTCCATCTCCTGTCTCGGTGGGCTGGATTCATCAGGCTCTTAGTGACTCCCAAATAAATTCATTCTCGTGTCTTCATCCGGTAGAAAACCATCTTCTTGACTAACGAGTGACCTAGCTAGTCATGTTCTTTTGCTTGTAATGTTAAACATCCGTGAGCAAATTTTGGCTATTTGGGAAAAATAACGAGCTTCACTTTTACGGTCCTTGGCTCACGAAGCCACAACCTCCCGAACCTCCAAGGAAAAAGCCTTTCGGTCGGTCGCACAGCTCAAGGACTGCCGTGGCAGCGCTTCTTCAGCCCTTTCTGTCCGCAGGGATGCCTCGTTGCTCTGGAGCGAGGCAGCGGCGGAGCGGGGCCGGCGGAGCGCGGCCGCTCCGGGAGCGGCGGGGCCGCGGGCACGGGGACGAGGCACCGGTGCACGAATGTGTCCCCTTGTCCCCACACCGACATCGGTCGTGGCTGTGGGAAGCGAAGAAGTGAAGAGTTAAGTCCGAGGCCAAACAGCAAGTTAATTGCAGCGTTAGGAACAGACCCAGTGTCTTCAGGCTCCCATCCCTTGATTGAATCACATTTGCTTATTGCAATATATTTATGAAGTTTAAGCTTAAAAGTCGCTAATACTTTCCAGAACCAATTTCTGTATTTGCTGGTCCTTGATTTCTTTCGTATTCAGCTGAAACGTGCCTTTTGTGCTATGTTCTTTCCTTTTGCATCTAGCTCAGACAGAATTGTCTTCAGCCTAAAGGAGGCCTAGAGGAACATTTTCCTAAGGATGGGGTGAGGAGGGAAGAGCTCCCATGACCCGTCAGGCTTCACAGTGTACAAATATTTGTAGAACAGGTAAAATCTGTAACCAGTGCATTCGTGGCTCCCTTTGCTCACGGTGGAATCCAGGGCTGACTCCTGGCTGTGCCCTCTGATGTCCCTGTGAGCTCCCGGGGTGGCTTTGATCTTTTATCTTAGAGATCCTTTCCAACCTCGGTGCTTCTGGCAGGAGGGGAAGCAGAGAATTCCCTGTGGGACACAACTGCCATTGCCCTCACCACAAAGCTCCTGTCCTGGCAGTGTCTGTCCTGCTGAGCTCCCAGCTCTGCCACCAAGGCACGGGGACACAGAGGTGACGCTGGAGCTTGGTTCCACCGAAGAGCACAATGTTCAAGCTTTAGTCATTGCACAGTGGGGTTTTTATTTCATTGTTTCCCAAACGGGCAAAGGCAAAAAGCTGAAATGCAGGTTTGGAAGTGGGGAGCACAAACACTTCTGTGCTTTGGTGAGTCCATCCCCAGGAGGAGCCTGATTTGGGGGGGCTGTGACACAGCCCTGAGGTCACATTTCCACCAGGACAGACCCCTGCACCCACTCAGCAGAATTCCTGTGTGACTGGTGGGAATTTTGTAACCAGATTTTGGAAATCACTACAATTTTTGCATGCTGAATAGCTATTTATATACATATATATTTTATATATATATATATATATAAAATTATATATATCACAAATGCAGGCCACGTGTCCAATTCAGCTTTGCTTTTAACAAATGAAATACTTAATAAAAATGAATGTTGCAAAGGGGTTTTTTTTTTTTTTTTTTTGGAAAGACATCTATTTAAAATTTTTTTTATTACATACCTTTGATGTAAAAACTAAGAATTGGTTAGACAAAAAAAACATATATACTACAGATAAATCTTTATTAGAAACCACATTAGATACAGGTGGTATGGAATTTTTAAATGTTTGTTACATAGCATGGACATTTTATTTTACATATCAGAACATAAAGTCATTTTACTACTACAAGCTGTCTCTGGGTGCATTTCAATAATTAGTATAAAAATGTTCCATGGTGAATTCAGATGCTTGGTCTCTCTTCTGTCTCCTGCTCCTGACCACACCAACCTCCCACTTCCCAAGGGCATACCCGACCCTCTTCCACCATCTCAAAGCTCCACCGTCAGGTTTTAGGTGCCCATGGGTTTATTTGGGATTTCCCAGGTGTTTCTTTGTTTTAGGGGTCACATGAGTTGGTTTGAGCACTGAGTTAAAAGCAGCCTCTGGTCCCCAGAGCACCAAACCACTGAGCTGCAGTGCCAGGGACAGAGGTGAAGAACCAGAGGTGGGAGGGAAGGAGGGAGGGGGGAGAGCTCTGGAAAAGTCACTGCCCAGAATTTGCAATGCTCAGTTCATTTCTCACCTTGACACTGCATCAACACTGAACTGACAAATGGAACCCGAAAATGAGTGGGGTCAGCAGCCCAGGCTGCAAAGGAAAATCTGCCTGGATCTTCTGCTGTTTTACAAAGGTGACCAACACAATAACAATGTCATTTTTAATGAATAATCACTCTGCTATTTTAACCATTTTTCATGTACCTTCTGCTCATCCATGCAATATTTATTGATTTAAGGCAGTTTAAAAAGTAATTCCTGTAAGAATCATCCCAGAACATTTCAGTCAATGCAGGGGGTGGAGAGAAATCTTGACCATGGAATTCCTGCAAGTTTTACCTGGCAGCCTTTGCAAAGGGCAGGGCCCAGGCTCTGTCCCACAGCAGCCACTGGAGCTGAGTGAGTGCCCTGGGAATCCCTGTGCCAAATAATGAGCTTTTCCTTGTAAAAATAGCACAGGGTATTTATGAGTACAGGACCTGATTGGGAAAGGCTGAGTTAGCATAAAAATGTGCAAAATTTGGATATATGCTAATCTGGTCATCTGGGTTCCTTTTATAGTCACTGGAGAGAGATCAGACATTGAGATTAAATGGGATGAATCATTCTCCAGTGACAATCTTTTTCCACTCAGAGGAATCCAGTTCAGCCACTTAGAGCAGATTTCCCATTTCCAAATGGCTCAAAAAGTCATATTAGTGGGATCCCCCTCCTGTGTGACTTTGACAAAAACATTGAGACATCATTGAATTGTTTACATTACAGATCCCACTCAAGATGAGCACAGGCAAAAAAAAAAAAAAAAAAAAAAGACCCCCAAACAAACCAAACCTGGTGGTATTAATTTATGGGATGGAAACAGGTTGTTGTTTTTAGTTCACTTTATGTTTTCATTGAAGGTTTCTAACCTGGCTATGTGTCCAGTCCCAGGAGAGGCACCCAGGTTCCATTTGATTTCTCCTGCTTTTCCCACCTGGAAAGGCTTGGCTGGTCCTGATCCTGGTAGAGCAGGATCCTTCCTGGGGATGAAGCAGAGCACAGCAACCCTGAGTGTCCTGGAGGATTTGCTCTGTTTGTTTTTCAAATCAGAAACACTAAACTGGGAACATCACTAACAAAAAATCCCAACAACCTGCACAGCTTTAAAAGAGATCAAGCGTGCTTACTGCGTCCCACTTTGATTTACTGCACTTTAAACAGCTTTTAATTCTCAAGAATGTGGAGGTTCATGTGTGTGGAGGCTTTTCCAGCCCCGGAGTTGCAGCCTGGAATGGCAAGCCAAGCTCAGGGAAACCAGAAATCAGATTAAAGCAAAAATTAGCAAGTGAGAAAAACCTGAATACACACGAGGACTGTTTTCCATTGATGTGCTCTAATCTGTACTAAAAGGCCCAGGGAATTTTTAAATTCTGTTTTTCTTGAAGGTAGATGTCCAAATTTCATCTTGGCCCAGGCAGGCTGAGCTCCACCATCCCAGCAGCACTCGGTGCCAGACTGAGCTTGGACTTCCCTCGAAATAGAACAAATATTTCTATCAGCTTGCTGAGAATGTGAGTCACAGGAATATTTGCCAAAATTTAAACAAGCTAAACTTCAATCCTGCCAAAAGCCCCACCATTCAATTTGGCATCACTGGCAGCTCACAGGCTCAAGAGGGGCCTAAGTCTGGAAGAGCTGGGGTGTTTTTGGCAAACATAAATTTATTTTTCTCTCTCTTTACATTTTGGAAAATTTGTGCCTCTCTGTATTAATTTATGATGTCATTAAATAATTCTTTTTGCAGCTTGTATAGAAAGAATGTTTCTTTTGAAGATGAGAACTCCCCTGAGGATGATTATAGTGAAAAATTCCAGCCAGAGGGGAAAAAAAAAAACCCTTCTCTCTCCTTGGCCACTCATGTTTCTGCAGTAGTGCTTAAAAAGCAAAAATATCTACAATATTTTAATTTAAGGACCTGCTCCAAGGAGGTGCCATGCACTTGACTGTGACAGGAGGCAGCCTAAATTCAGTGTGAGTGGAGGGGATTTATTCCTGTGATAGCAGGCTGGAAGAGAATCATGAGCCTGTGACTTGCTGGTAGAAAACATCACGTTTTGAACGGATTTGCTCTCTGCAAAGAACAGGATCAAGATTAAAAATTAAAGAAGAGGAAATCTTGGGAGTGGTACAAGCAAAGCACAAAGCCTTGTCCAACATGAACCTTATTTAATGTGCAAAGCCTGCCATGAGAGAAATGCCTGGAAAACTGGGGTTGGGGGTGGTTTCATCACAGGGTTCACAGCCCAGCCTGCTCCTACTTAAACCAGAATTAAATTTAAACCTGGCATGGGCTGCTCAGCCTCACTGGGACATGGCAGGGGAAGGTTTGTGCACCTTGCTGGGTGTTTGTGGCCTCCAAGCCCCCAGTCCTGCCAGGAAGATCCTTTCCCTGGCCATGGGCAGCAAATGCTCCTGGCTGAGCACTTTGGGAATGGCAGTTCAGGTGTCCCAGAGGATTTACAGCAGCAAGGATGGAAAATTGGCCTCCTGAGCCCCAGCCCACCTTTGGAACCAGGTCCTGAGAGAAGGAAATAAAAAGGAGATTAATTAGTGCAAAGAGCTAATAACACCAATTCAATTGAAATCAGGATAATTGCAGGTTTTGTTAATTAGGAACTCATTTAATAAAAGAAA